ATGAGTTGTAGATTTTCTTTAACAAGTATGGATAATTTTTTTGGATAAAATGGAATATTTGAATTTTAAACAAGCATCGTAGATCTTACCTTTAGATCATTCGCATAATTAATTAAGAGCATACACAAAGTTCTCGAAGATGGATATTTTTAACGAAACGAAAGAAATTCTGGCGAAATGGAACGATCCTCTCGACAAGATACTACGCAACACGTTCGCCGCCTGTTTCGAAACTCTATGCCTAATCGCACGTTCATAATTAATCGGTTGTCGGGTATGGCATACGAGGGCTTAAGCGGTTCGAGTGCAGCTGCTGGAGGGAGGAGGGAGAGGTAGCCCCTCGTTCCACGACGTGTTGGCGGAACACGGAAGATGGAGTGCCTGCGTCTGCCACTCATTCAGCGCCACGTGTTTGCCAATTCGTCGTTCGCCAACTTCGTTTTCGAGGCTACACCGAAAGAAGGAAAACTGGGTTGTCTCGTTCGAAACCGGAACTGAACGTGGCGCGCGCGCTGTACGATGTATCGGTTGGAACGATTTTGGAGGGACAAACGACACGTCGGGACGAGAATTCCGTTGAAAATACCGATTGCGCCACCCACGAATTTGCCCCTCGAATTTGAGCCTCGCGCTAGATGCGCCGCTGACGCTCCACAGTGATTCGTGGCGTGCAAAGCCTCCTCCGTGTCCCGGATTTTTTATGATGCTTACATATATATCATATCGATCGATACGCCGATGAATCGATGCTTCCATTCGCAAATATTATTTTCGTTCCGGTTTTTCGTTGTTTTTCTTTTTGTATCAAATTTATATTCCGGCCTCGAAGAGAAATTTTATTTTATTACACGTTATATCGGTTCCTTTGCTAACCGGAACGAGCCTTCTCGTATCCATCCAATCCGGATTTTGTATACGCGTTATCAATTTCGTTTCGCGCTTTTATTTAAGTTAGTTATTTAACTTTGCCCCATAAAAAATGGAAAAATTCACATCATATTTTCAAATCGATTGTATTATATCTGTTATAAGAAAGAGAGAGCGCAGAGATTTTCGAGATAGTCTTCGATAATTCTAATATTACTCGAAACCATATGCATAGTCTCCAAGGATGCTTCTCTCTTTCTCTCGAGAAAGAGACCACGTCGCTTTGATCAGAACCGAGTTTGCCGGTGCACTGGGCAAAACAAATTTTCTATCCACATCTATCCAGAACGAAATTAATTTTATCCTCGGACGTCGATAGATAATCTCTCTCTCTCTTCTTCTCGAATGGGCGGGCGAATGGGTGGAATAAAGAGACGCGTATGCGAGGATTTGGCGAGGGCGCGAACTCGAATGATAATGGTGATGGATCGCGATATTTATTTGCGAGTGACGCGAAAAATTATACGTGGTTGGGCGAAGAAACGTTAAGAGAGGGGGAGGGAAAAAGCCGCGGCAGGAAGGGAGAGGGGAAGAATTGCAATGGTCTCGTAACTTTGTTTTTTTTTTTTTTTTT